CGATTCTCTATCAATAAATATGATCATTGGACAGTTGGATCGACCCGGAATTAAACATCAATACCTTGTCTATTGGGGCTCCGATCTTGATCACACAACAGTCCTACTTTATATAATTATATATTTTGTTTTAAAAAGTTAGCTAACGTTTGCTTGAGCAAATATTATTATTATTATTTCAAATGGCAGGCGTTTTGAATATTTATCATTAGCCATTTAGCTGACTTTGGGCATCGCAGAGAGGAGGAGGAACATCAAAGTGAGAACGATTCGGGAGGGGGGGGGAAAGAAGAGTGATTCACAGATGTAGAGGAGACAGACAGACACAAAGGGAGAGAAAAGGCTAGATGAGTACTGTGGAAGGAGTCGAATGTGACATACAGTGGGGTCATGGTAGTTTGAAGTCAGAGGTCAACTGCCGGTTTATAGACATTTTTTGCCCTATGAGTATACATTACCAGGGTCCACCACGTGGAGGTAAGTCTATCGCACACCCCTGCTTGAGCAAATATATAATTGCTGAATTGGAACAGTGATTTTCAATCGCCTAAGCAATTCTCATTCCACTTATTAAGCGACTGCCACTCTAATACATGTTGTTCACTCGTTAAATATGTCATAATCAAATCAAAATCGGAATGTTTCCTGGTTTCCAGCTGTTATTCCCACTAATGCGCAAAATCTCGTGTTTTATCGAAAACACTCACAAGCAGATTTGAACTGGATAAACGAATTTATGTATTGCAAAACCATGGGAACAAGGTGTGTAATCGAAGGAATGGGAAATTGAGATCGATTCTCATTTCACCATGACAGTAATGAGAATTCAAACCAGTGGTTTCGCAGCGGGACAATTAAATTCTTGTATCGCTATTATTACCACTGAATATATTCATTTTTTTAAGATATTGATGGTGAATTCAAATGGGAAAAAAATTAATGAAATTTTAAATTTGCTTTTCCTCTGTTTGTAAAATTGTAGGCAAGAGATAAAATATTTTTCTGAGCTAATTTCTTATGGAACAGTTTTCACCTATTTATAGTAAAGCCCTAAATGCCAAAAAATGAATAAGTCCAATTTCAAGTTTATCTTAAACAATATCTTACGTCGACTGGTATATTCCTGTTAAGACTCGTTTGTAGAAATTGGTCGTTTAGTTGATCTAATCTGCGCCACATAAAATTCTGCATAAAATGTGTAACTGTCAATTAGACATGGTGTCTGTTTAACGGAGCTGTCAAACATGTATTATCAATATTCTAGGAATGAAATTTTAGCTGAAAAAATGTTAAATAGCTAAATAATTATTTAATTATTATAATTTGTTATATGTGACACTGTGAATTATTAAAGGTAGCAGCGAAGGTCCGGCTTAGGGCCAATTCAAACGAAAACGATCCGTTTTGGGGCTTTAATCACACTTTTATCACCAACACTTCATTAACTATGTCCATGCTTTATATCTCAATACCTGTGCACCTACAAGCACATAAATCGATCGATTGAAAGGTGGCCACATCCTGAAAGTCTCACCATCTTTCCTCTTATTTGTGCATATTGATTTTCGATATTCATTAAAGTTAGCGTTGAAATAGAGTTGCGTACATTTCAATTTTCATTTTTTTGTTTAAATTTTGTTTCTGAGGTTTTGTGGAGATTCTCATGATTGGGAAGGCAAGTTAAAGAGAGTTGCCTGCCATGTTAAAAATATCATTACAAGTCTAATCTTCTGGCTTCAGATCATCATTCAAAAAAAAGAATCAAATTGATTGTGGAGTGAGACCAATTACTTCAGAACAAAAACTCACCCCATTAATCAACACACTAGACCATGACTTTGTCATTCCAAATATTAGATTAAGAGGCCTCGGTAAATCTAGGGGGAATGATTCTTCACAATCTCGTTTCAATATCAAATTATACTCAGTCTTAAAACAAATGACATAAGTTATAAATAATTTTGCAGGGTTTCCATACGAAAAAATAACGCTTTATATCATTGAAATACGCAAAGACAATTTTGTAATTCCTCGCAGTAAGCTGTCTCCTATGTTCTACAAGAATACGTTTGTAATGCTAAAATACCTAAGGAATTGACATCAATCTTATAAAAGGAACTATCCTTCATTCCTTATTACAAACGCATATTTCAAATTTAATTATCGACGTGTCATACATAAAGCTACATTAGTATCAACCTGCAAATAAAACAATATTCAACTCTATTGCGTTATAATAAGATGCCAGTTCCGTTTACTAACAACATTTTAGTAATATATTACTTCTAATCAAATGCGTTTCTTGGATTCAGTGTGAGTGGGGGTGCTCTGTTCGATCGTGTTATATCCGAAAATAATCTGGATGAGCAGATTAGCGCATCAATAGTTCACCAAATGCTTCTCGGTCTCCAGCACATCCAAGCCTGCTCAATCCTTCATTTAGACTTAAAACCGGAGAACATAATGATGGTCGCCCCGACAGGGTATCAGTTAAAGATTATTGACTTCGGCCTAGCCTATTTCTACGATCCAAAACGCCCAAGACGTCAGATGGCTGGAACATACACCTACTCTGCTCCAGAAACTATCAATTACGAAATGCAGAGTTTCGCAACCGACATTTGGAGTGTAGCTGTAATCGGTTATGAGTTGTAAGTTAATGTTGGATAGTTAAATTGCTAGCACCAGCCAATCATATGCTAAGAGCATAAAATTCAATACTCTATAACCTCCTTCTATGTAGGCTCTCTGGTATTACTCCATTTGAATGTCCTCCGCCGGAAACCCCAGATAAAGAACTGACAATGCCTGAAATAACTACAAATATCATCAACTGCAGGTACAATTTCGATGATGACGGAATCTGTGATGCTTCTGAGAAGGCCAAAGATTTTATTCGAATGATCCTCAAAAAGAATCCCAAGTGAGTCAGAGGTGATAAAATTTAAACTCAGAGACCACAATAATATTAATATTCAACACTTTCTTCGACTGTTAGAGATCGCCCAAGTGTCACAGATTGCCTGGAGCATCCTTGGATGAGTATGACAAGTGAACTTCCAAAGATTCGACGTGAAGTCTCTATTTCCCGTCGCGCTTCGGTACGTTCAAGGCCTCGAGAGTAAAGTATGTGGATAAGTTAAGTTGTACAAATAGCCCGTATGAGTACACATATAACTATAGAACGGCGGTTTTGGTGGAAAGACCATAGGCAGGTGGGGATAAACCATCGTAATTGCCAATAGCTATAGCACTCACCCCCCCCCCCCCCCCCCCAGACACATTTGGGACGTGTACCTCACCCTGGTCATCTGAATTGGGTCATTTTGCCATATTTTCAACTATCCCTTCCAAAGGCCTAAATTTGTATAAATTTCCTCTCCTTGTAAGTTTGAGGAAAATCCTGTTTACTTATTCAGTTATCTTGTCTACAATAATAATAATAATGAAATCCGAATAAATATTTTCATTATTTTTCACGATTTCTAGGTGTTGATTACTTGGCATTCTAGAAATATCCTTCAATGTATAACTTAACTAATCTTTCTAATTTCAGACCTTGGAGAAAAATAGAGCACTTTGGAAAGGCCAGGCTCGTATCACGATTGATAATGAGAGATTCTAGAGTAACTTTATTTAACCCCCCACCCACCCACCC